GCATGAATCCATTTTCCATGCTTTCTTCTAGAAATGGCTCTAAGAAAGGTTGATGGGCCACTACTCTTGGTTGAGCTAAGTTTTGTTAAATTCTTGAAGGTACCTGGCCTCAGACCCAAGGCCCGAGAAAATTATTTCAGTTGGTACCTGATCCACGCTCCTACTTGTCCAGCTCACATTTGCACCACTCTTGTCCAATAACAAACTTGAAGAATTTACGCATCATTGGGCCCAGGTTCTCGTCCGTGCCCATTCAAATTTTAGTAAATGCTCAACTTCATCTCACCCCAACTTGCGGCCTAAAGAAGAAGAAATGGAATTTCGTAGGCTAGAGTTAGTTTTTAATTTCATATTGGTTGTAGCTGTGGAACCAATGATAATAGCTCATGCCAGTGATAAATTACATGAGGCCCACAGTGAGATGTTGAATAGTTGTGGATCCCACGCATTAAAAAACTGGTGTGGAGCATTGTTATTGGTCCCACAGAAGCTATAGCATTCAGATAATCCTGTCTCGTTAGTTTCACTGCTGGTAGCTCAGTTGGTAAAGTTCTCCGGCTGTTTATAGCGGAGGCCTGGGATCAAATCCTGCCATCTTAAATGATGCTTGCTTGCTTGCAATTATGCATTTAGAAGTTCAGCATTCTATCCTTCTCGTCAACAGATGGGTGGAGTGTTCATGGGCTAGGCTTGGGCTTAGCTTTTACCAAAATTAAGAATGGACCAAACCCAAAGCAATGTAAAATGTTGATGGACCAAACCCAAAATCCAACCCTTGAACAGGTCTATAATGAGAGAGATTTAAGAAGCTATCTGCTGAAAGAGTTTAGAAGAGAGAGAAGAAGAAGAAGAAGAGGAGGACTTGCAGGCTGCAGAGGTGATGGCGATGGTGACTTATAGTGACAACAGTGATGATGATGGCGATGGCAAACTACAGCGGCAACAACGGTGGCGATGGTGGCAAACTGGCGATGAAAGTAGATCTAAAATTTCTCAGTCACAGATCTCACACACTCTCTCTCTCTCTTGCAGATTTGTCGTCTAGAGTCTAGACTCCTCTCTCAGATCTCTAAATGTGAGAGATCTCACTATCTCACACATCTCTCTCTAGTAGATCTCAGATCTGAGAGATCTTCTCTTTTCATTGTTGTTCTGACAAAACTTATCAGAAGTAATAAATCAAACCATTCTCTGGGTCGAACAGTTCAATGGTCAAATCGTTCAGATCATTGGTTCATTGACTAATTCAATGGTTTTGATCAAAGATCGGATTTGGGATAAAACAAAACCGATCACCTGAATGGTTTCCAGTCTGAATGACCCAACCATTCGGGTCGATGACGGTTCAAAAATAATGCATTTAACAATGAAATCAAAGCACCCTCATGGTCACCATTGATTCGTCATAAGTTTTTTAGGTATTATCTTTATTGTATTATAGTGGAATTCATCTATATTATATTTAAATCTATATTTATATGTGGGTGCTGAGTTTTTTTTACTAAAATACCTTATTTTTGGATTTTTTTATTGTTGAGGCTGAAAAATTCTAAAGTGTAATTTGACTTATTATTCACCTCTTATATTTAAGAGTTGTTATCTAAAAACTCATGGCCCCTCACTTTTACATATTTCCCTCAAACTTACTCACTTTTCCAAACTTCCAATGCCTCCTCTTTAGAGAATTTTTGTTATCCAGCTAAAACTTTCTGGCGGGTCACTGTTAGTAACCATTAAACGGAGTTGCCAACTATGTTGTTATTTTTCTATGACCAAATTAACCCTGACCCTCTGTTAAATTATCATTTAAATAAAAAAAGGGAAAAGTCCAAAATATTTCTATTTTTGTCCTCAACCTAAAGATCTTGAGCCCTTTCGGATGAAGAGAAGAACCTTCCAAGTCCTCTGATGGAGTGATAGTATAATAGATTTCATCATTGCACAATTTTGGTTCACGGTAAACTCAAATGGAGGGGTAAGATAGTAAACTTGCACAAACCCTTCATCTCCTGGTGGTAAATTTCTGATGGGGGTCTTTGGAAGTTTTAAAAAAGTAAGGATAAGTTTAAGAGAGTATGGGAAATCAGGTGTAAATAATTTCATAATGCCAAAACTAAACTTTATGATAATATTCAGACCATTTTACCTTATTCTTTTTTCTCTTCAATCTCGGTTGAAGGAACGAAAGAGGGGAAGAGAATGAATGACCGTTCTGCTATTCTGAGCAAGTGAGGTGATAAGCTTCAATCAACTCTAACCGTTTATTGACAAAGAAGGTGATAAGCTTACCCATTCCGTCCCTTTCTCTTCAAACTGCGTTGAAGGAACGATAGAAGTGACTGTTATTCATTGGAGCACGTGCAGGTTGAAGGAACGACAAAAAAAGTGGTACGCTTAAGTTTTTTACCCCTAACGTCTGATTAGTTTCTGAAATTAGCTTCTGTAAATAGAGGAAAAAGAGATTCACTTAAAAACCAACAACTGGCTTCGTAATAGCTTCCAATTTCTATTTAAAATGCAGCTGAGCTATTCAACTGCTCGAGGGTTTTCGTTTTTCTCTACGTAACAGGTTGCAAGTATGGGAAAGACTATCTTCACTTCACCTTGCAGAGATATGCTCATAACAAGCCAACCATGGTGGGTCATCAATACTGGAGGGTCACTAGTGGTGTTGCAGATGAACTGAAAATCTCCATTTCGAAAACAGTTGGGATCATTTCCAACGCCAAACAGATAAGGGATGTTGAGGTTCCCAAACTTCTCCCGGTAGTCGTGCTTTGTCAAAGACAACATCGGAGCAGCCACTGTTGCTGCCGCCTTTGTCACCATAAGCAGCCATAGTAGAAGGATATGAAGCAATATGGGCCAAAACATGATCAGATGATAATTGGAGGTTAAAAGGAGTTTAGGAGGGGGCAAGAGAAACAGAGCATCGCTACCTTAAGTCATGTTAAATACTTAAGATACAGCTTAATTGTTCAAGTCACCGCTAATGGCGTTGGAATAAAAAACGCTAAAAAATCAAAATCCTAAATAATCTTGCACTAAAATCAACCAGAAAGTAGAAAAGCATAGAAAATGATAGAAAAATGGCAAAAAAAAAAAAAAACCCTGGTTGTCTCCTCGGCACCAGCAATACAAGGTCATCTTTTCCGGCAATAGTTGAGTTAAAAACAAGGGGTAYCAGGAGCAGATGCGATTTGTTTCAAATATTTCTTTCAAAATATACGGAGAAGATCTTTGTATGATGCTCTGGTGTGTGACTCGTCGATTTCAATTTTTTCAGCGTCGTCTTCCACTTGACATCACCTGTGGGAGGAACTAGTTTCTTCAGAACTTCAGGTCACAGAGTGGGTGAATAGTAGTTCCCACTTGAAGAGAAAGGATGTTATAATTGGGGTCATTTTCATCATTTTAAAAAATAATCAAGATATATTGGATTGGACCAATCCGGTTAAAAATATTTATTAGATTGGATTGGACCTGATCCGTCCATAATAAATTTATATTGGACTGGGTTTGACTAAGCCAATATCTGATCCATTGATATAAGATAAGAATATAGGCATCAATGGACCGGATTTAGATTGAAACCAATCTAAATCAAAACCAATATGAACAAATTGGATGGTCCAGATATTGAATTGAACCAGTCCAAAATAGTTCAAAATATTTATTGGATTAAATTGGACCTGATCCATTTATAATGGATTCACATTCGACTGGATTAGATTGGACTAAATCCAGTCCAATTGACACCCCACTTATAATTGAGCGTTGAGCAATGATCTAAATCAACAACCTCAATTCAGTCTTAATCTCACTTCATCTTTAAGTGCACCTTTCTAATACCTTGATTGCAATCGGTTATTCCTTGATGATCACGTCTTAGTTGTGTTTTAATATGTATTGATCGTATTTCAGTGATTATGAGATGACTAGCTTGCATTTGATGGTTCTGGGCCATTTGTTCCAACAAAGAAACAGATACTAGAAGTGATACCGATCTTTCTTAATCCTTCTTAGTTCTTATATGCATTCCTTTCAGCAATCAATTGGGGTGTTCAACAAAAACTAAATCAAAACAAAAAATCCGATCAACCAACCGAATTGATCGATTTGGTTTTGGTTCGGTATTTATAATAACAGTATATAAATTATAAATTTATATGTATTATTATATATATATATATATATTTTAAAATTGTCTATTTATAATAAATTTTATATTATATGTATTTGCAATATTTATATATTTTTATAATATATTAGAAACATAAAAAAACCAAACCCATTTAGTTGGAAATTTGGAATACTTTGTTAATAATATTAGACTTGTGCACAATCCAGAACATCATGAAATCAAGAAAATACCATGGCAAAAGCCTAGCAGTGCTTCACTACTACCAAAAAACTGGATCTTTCTTTTAACCCGGCATTTATGCTGCAGGCTAGAACATTTTCTAAGAAATATTACATTGGATGATCATAGGTATCAGTTATAACATCAATAAGCAGAACCTCTAATTAATATTTTTCTTTATACAAAAAAAAAAAAAAAAAAACAGAACCAAGCAAGCATTGAATTTCCTACCAATAAAGGAGGGGATGAGGCTACAATTAATGGATCTCCATATGTTGTAGTCTGATGTAATCAGTTCTAATTCTACCGAAAAGTAGAGAAGAGAAACTGCTGCTACCATGAAACAAAAAATAAAAAACAGAGAACCCATAATTTACAGAAAATCATCAGCAGATCAGAGGATAAGGATATCTGATGGTTTCAGATATGAAGATCGAATCACAACCCAGATGAATGCAAGTATAGAGCTTGTAAATGGGTGTGGGATGAAGGAAGCACAAACAAACTGGAGAAAGAAAAAGGAAGGAATAATTCATCCCAAATCGTTTTTTTTTTTTAAGAACTTGAATCCAACCTGGTGCAGTAATGCATCAAAATTAAAACTGTTGATCATCAATTGCCCATCTCTCTGATCAATTCAACAATGCATTGATAATGTCAATGGCAATTCACATTCACGTGAATCCGAAGAAGATAGGTTATCATACTCGACGCTTGAACCTATTGATACCGAGGCTTGATGATTTTCTTCATCATCATCATCATCATCCTTTTCCTGGCTCATGTTATCGTCTAGTTCACCCACCACGACAGCGGCCCCAAACCGAACGCGCCGCACTCTGTTGTCAGGGGATTCGGCCGCATGGGTCGGAGATTCAGGACCTGCAGATGATGCTACACCACCCATATCTATAGTTTGTACTCCGGCGACATTTGCACCGCCACCACGCCAACCACCACCACCACCACCAGTACTACAACGGGCAGCAGCAGGGCCAACAGCAGCTACACCTCTAATAGAATCCCTGGAAATGCATCTATATACCAATGTGAGGAACCAGAATAACCATGGAACACTCACCAGAACCATCCCAGCAACTGGAAACCAGGCTGTGGATTCTGTTTCAGGGAAGAAAATATACAATAGCAGGAAAACTCCTCCTGCGGTTATGGTGGCAAGGAAAAAGCAAGAGATGAGCCATATGCAGATGTTGCCTATTCTTGGGTCCGGTACTGACATTGGTATTCACTGTAAGAATTAAATCAGAGGTAGAAAACAAAGAACAAGTATTGATCTTTCTCCTCCTCTTCCTCCATTTGAATTTTATGTAACAGAGGTTATTATCTTATTGGTAAGATGAAAGCAGGACTCATTCGAGATGGGATGTAATTTTGTGTCCTTCTTTCGTCTGGGTGATGAAATGGTTTTGGCTTCTGTTGTTGCAGGAAGCCTGGAATGGGTTGGTAGCCACAGATTCAGCATGTAGCCACGTAAAACAAGGCACACGTCAAACCAACATAGAAACATTAGAGCGAGAGAGAGAAAGATAGAGAGGCGCGGAGGTTGGATTCTGGTGGGTTATTTATTTCTTTTTTTTTTCTAAAATGTTCTTATTTATCAGATTTCAGATTTGGGATAATTAAGTTTGGCTTTCGAACGTCATACATACATGCATACAAATCATTCATACATATGAATAATGTTTATTTGCACATCAGTCATACATACATAGAAAAATTTTGTTTTCAACATAAAATTGTTGATGCATATATAAACAAATGTATTTTTTTGGGTTTCTATTAAAGCTATAATCACCTTGATACCACCTTAAATTATCCTTTTCCTTAAAAGTTGCCACTTAAATCTCTCCCTCCACATTCCTACAATCTCTCCCCTATTCATTCCTACTTTACCTCTTCTTTTCACTTTTCTCCTACAACATATCTATTTAACAAATAGCTACCACTAATATAAATATATTAGTGGTAAAATAAATCATATAAATATAAATAAATTAATATGCATATATTAACTAAATAATTAAATATAAAGGTTATAATATTATTAAGTTAAAAGTTAACTATTAATTAATAAATAATAGTAATATTTGATTAAATTAGGGATGATTGTCAGCTAGGTTAGCTTGGCTTAGCACCTATGATAAGAGCTATAGCCTGAGATTAAACTAATCTGTGTGATGCACGAGTTTTGTTAAGAAAAATTGATGTAAAAGGAACCCTATGACATTCTTAGTTAGAGGTGATCATGGATCGGGCCATGCTTTGTGCCTATGAAAGATTTTAAGAAATTGCAGGATTGTAGGGCTCCTACTTCATTTTTTTGGCTAAAAAAGCCCATGGATTGCATGAGTTCCAATTAAGTGATATGTACAGCCATGAAGACATTGGGGTTAGGTTGGGTCAACTTGCCCAAGGCCTCAACCCTAACACGAAGTTAAGTCGGGTTAATAGTTTTCAACCCTTACGTGGACTTCAACAGTCCAACTCAAGCTGATTTTTTGTGTTTCGAGCTAACTCAGCCCAAGTTGCAACCCTATCTATGAGGGGTTGAAGGAGGCTTTCATACATTTATATTTCATTTTCCGTTTTCCTTGGACGATTTTATCTTTAAGGTGATATATATCAGTTCCCATTTTCATTTCTTTTTTCCTTAATTGGTATTTTATTCATTTTTTTTTTGTGGGGAAAATATGAAATCGGATTTCATCCTCACAAAACTGTCCTCACAACTCTTGCAGCCGTGTATTAAGAATATCTTCCCGTGAATAAAAAGATGCAAGCATGGAGATGTTCCCAATGCATGACTGTAAAAGGCTGTAAGGACAGTGTGAGAACAGTTTTGTGAGGATTGAATCTGAGGTCAGAAAATCTATAATACCAAAAATACATGGTACCACAAGAGCTTTGACCAATCAAATTAAGCACCCCTGTGAATTTTGATGAATACCACTGATTCGTCACTTATTCTTTGTAAACATAGTTTTCTAGAAATAAAGGTTTGAAAGATTCCTTCTTGGTTTTCTGTCTATTAGGTTCTTTCAATTGCCAAACCAACCATAAAAGGGTCTTTGTTTCTCAGTCGTCTAGCCAAACTGTTAATACAGAAATGCCATACCCAATGTTTGTCCCAGCTACCTTGGGGACTGAATATGGACCTAACATTTGGCTTTTTTTTTTTTGCAAAAATATGACTATTCTCAAACATGAGTACTTTACCATTGCATCAAGTAACTGTATGGGTATTTTGGACATTTTCATGTCTCTTTTCAGAATATTGTAACAAAAGGGATCGACATGCATCTATGTCATGAAATTCAGTGATTGCAATTATCAAACTTTAGGGGAGGTTTCAGAAACAACCAAAAACTTTAGAGGAGGTTTTAGTAATTTACGCTATAAAATATTATAAGTTGGGCTCAGGCACAGACCAAGCTTTTTTGATAAAGCCCGAATCTGACCCAGAAAGAGGTTGGGCCTGGTGTTTTGGACTCAAACCTGAGCCTATAGGCCTAAAATCATGTCCAAGCCCAACTTAGAACAGGTTGGACTGAGCTGACCCAATGGGCTACCTGGCCCATAAACATGTCTAATTATAAATGGATAGGTAGAAATCAGTTTTGGTTGTTTTGAAATTTGAACTGATTAAAATTGGCATAATACCTAAAAAACTGATGAACAATCAATCAACAACATAAAAAGTAGTAACCGATGTCTACCAACCCAAGAAAAAGAATTAATACAAAACGTTTGTGGCTGATCAACCGGATTAAACAAGATTTTGGGTTGGTAGAGTAAAAATGCCTATATAGCAGCGAAACAGTTGCGCAACGCAAGCAACACAAAATACTAGGATTTTGGGTCTAATGTCCTTTTGAAATACGGTGCTACCGTGCTACAAACATTAAAAAGTTTTGTTTAAAAATAAATAATAGCACTAGAACGTAGGAAAATGAACCATCAATGATTTTATCATCTAAGTATCAGTATTAGGTATCATATCGAACTGTCCAGATACAAATACGAATACGTTTTAGAAAGACATAAATATAGACGAAAAAAATATGGATACACTGGAAAATACATATCAATTTCATAAATATATTAATAACATTATATTTAATGTCAAAATAGACATAATTAATATATAAATATATAGGGAATGTATATTCTAATAGTATTTGTAAAGAAATATATTACAATTAATATAGAAGGATGCATAGAAATCACACAATTTTATTGATAATGTATCAAACGAGTTATAGAACATACATACATACATACATACATACATACATACATACATACATACATACATACATACATACATATATATATATATATATATATATATATATAAATTAATACATGTATAAAACTACTATTTTGTTATTTTCTATTGAAGTTCAAGGCACAAAACATATGCAAATATTATATGTGGATTATTATATTAATTATTTTTTATTCCACTATTTTTATTTTTTATCATTAACAAAAAAGTCAACTAAAATTAATTATTAAATGTTTGGTAAACAACATTTTTATTTTTATAAACAATAAAAATGTTATTGTAAAATGTAATTAAGATATCAATTAATAATTTAAAAAAATATAATCTTTATTTAAAATATATCAAATATATTAAAATTTCTAAGATACACATCATATGAAAATCCTTAATTTTTAATTACTAAAATAATTATTTCATTATTAGTATTTTATTTTTATAAATTTTATGAAACAAAAATCATTTTTTTGATATAAAAAGTAGATTAGTGGATTTGACAAATTTAATTTACATTATACTCTCGAGTATTTTGTAAATAATATTTTTATTTAATTCAAATTAAAACATTAATTAATAATTTATAAAATTTTAAGATACATATCATGTTCAAATTTATAAATATTAAGTAATAAAATAATTATTCTATTATTAGTATTTTTATTCATATAAATTTTTTGAGATTAAAAACAACTTTTTGATATAAATGAGGATTTGAGAATTATTTATTCTATAAGTTTACTAAATATTAGTTTTGAATATTATTTTTTATTTAATCGGAATTATTGAATACAAATGTGGACTTTAGAATTGATAAAATATTATTTTGTTTCATTTATTATCAAAAAGTGAAAGGTGGCCTAATGGATCAAGGGCGCATTTTTAAAGCTTTTGCGCTATGTGGCGTGAATTTGAATCACAGTGTTCAAGTTTTTTTTACATGTAAACACGCGAGTACACATTCATCCGTACGGATGCTCACACAACTCAGGCAATATGAGCTTAATTGTAGCCTTTCCTGTATCGATACGATAAGCCCCCGTATCGGGCGTAACATATCATATCGGTGGCTTCACAATATGCCCATTTAAAGGTGTTTTTAGGAACCACTCCCTTTTTAATAAAAAATATGGTTAAAAATGTGTCCAAAAACCAAAATTTGAAAACAAAAAAAATATAAAAGCACGTTAATTTAAGTACCGATACACATGGGCGTATCGATATTTTGAGCCTTGTTCACCCCTTTCTATCTTCTTCAACTTGCAACAGATCTTTGGTTAAACAAAACTCACTGGTCTCTGGTTTATTGGTTTAACCAGCAATTTAATCATTCAACCCCACAAAAATCATTCAGAAAATTGAAACCCTAGAAGCTCATTCTCTCGTTGACTCATGGTCAGTAATTAATATTGTAATTCAGAGTTCAACTATAGTACATTCACTAATATTTGATTGTACACTAAATCTAAGTCTCAACTAATTATTTTAAAGCCTATTTACTTTCCATTTGATTTATTTTTCAAAAAGTGCACTTTCATGTTTAACAAGGTGTACAGTGTACTTTTACCATCATGTGACCGACCAATCATGTCTTTTGCTGCATGGTGCAGTGGATGCATCATGGATTTTGCCTATAATCTAATGTATTGTAAATTTGAAAGGATATACTCTCACTCTATATAACACCGGGCAGGGGGGAGGAGATTTGATTGGCTCTGCATTTCGTTATTTCTACAAAACATTGGCTAGCCAAATAAGGTCGACCTGAGCCAATTCGTTCGTGATTTTTTTCCCTGATTGTGAGCATTGAGGAATAGCAGCATACAAGTGTAGTAGTGTCCATGTAAGGGAGAGGGTTGAACACAATCTTCGCATTAGTCTGCTCTAATTTCTGTTTAAACAGATTTTGTTTCAACTGTTTGGTGCATATGAAAATGAAAAGGGTCGGTACTGACTGGCTTTTATCAGTAGCATCACAAACAGTGCCAATACTAGTTTTCTATTTTACCTAATCCGAGAGTTAAGCTGCTCGTGTATCCGTCTGAATTTCTCCTTAAGCCTTTGTATCTGCAATTTCGAGTATATTAGACCAGTCAGCAAGAACTGACTCGAAAGAAAATCCAAGTGGTGAAAGGACAAAATATAATGTACCCGTTTCAGCTCTACTTCGAAGTCATGCTTCCGTTGTCCCAATGAGCGGCGCAAGTGGGTGATGTCAAAGACATTATCCAAGTCATCCTCAAATGCAGATTCCAGGTCTTCCCGGAAAAGTGCTGGTAACTTGTCAACCACTGGCATTAGAAGAAAACAGTTGAACTGCAACAGAATAAAATGAAAGGATATAGATAAGAACCAAGACACAGTACAACTAATATACTAGAAGCAGAAAACAAAAAGATTTGGAATAAAAAGCACAGAAACAGTGGGAAGTTGTAGATATAGAGAAGTGTGATTGTCCAAGCCAACCGTCATATAACAGAAAAGTAGTGTTCTTGTGGTCAAAATCTCAACCATTTAATTGGTTATCTCCCTTGGAATATCCAATAAGGGTAGGGTTTAAAGTGCCTATCAAAAAAAGAGGGTATGATTTACAGGATCCAATGGGGTCTTTGTAGAGCAACTTCAAAAGTATAAGAATTACATGTGAACCTAATGAGAACAATAGCATAATAGATTCAGACCTTTAATTCTGCAGAGGCCAAGAAATATTCTCTAATGCCATGGAATATCTGTTGTACCAATGCATAAACAATCCTTTCAGATGAGGGAGCAAGCCTTCGATTCCATAGTGTGCTATCTAAAAGATCAGCCAGCCTTGTTTCTGTTGACTGAACACAAGGATTTGATTCAACTCCTGAAGCCAAATGGCTAAGTTTCACATCTGCTCTCCCCTTTATGTCATGCTTGTGGTCATTTGCAACTGGGCCCAAGGATGATTCTTGAGATGCAGCAGCAGTAGGAGAATTCCCACACAAAGATGACTGCTCTGAGCCAGCAAATGAGTCTAAGAATTGGCGTAAGCCAGCCCGATTCTGCAGATTTAATCATATACAAGAAACAAGTAAAAACCCAACAGAATGCACAACCATGACCTTGTTTGCAATCCACAAACTAAGAAATCAACTGTGTTTACCTTATTGTGGAGAGACCAGGTGACATAACGCGTTGTGCTCACTAGATCCTCCATGCATCTGCAGAAAGTTTTATGGTATAAATAGGGCAGAATAAGTCAAAATGGTTTTTTCCCTTTCTCCTTCATCAAGTGATGAAAGAAAAGGCAGAGGAAAAAAGAATGGACATGCATTAATAAAATGACAGTGGAACCACAGACTCTCATTATCCTTGGTAAAAGAAAGCTATCAATTTAAAATTACTTCCAAAATGCAAACAATTACATGTGTTATGTTCTAGAAATAGAATTTAAGGACCAAAACCACCAATAAAATGCTTATGATGAATGAAAGAAGTAARCAATGCTTCTACAAGCATAACTACATAAAACAAATTCATTTCATATGGTTATGGAATAGGATGGAATTTTAAGTGATCTAGGAAATAAAGTGTATTTGTGTCAAAGGTCTATACCTATGCTCGACTCAGCCTGAAATTGCTTATGCCACAGGTGTGGTCCGTCAACATATGCATCAACCTTGTGTTCCTCATCTAATGGCTGCTAGATAGATATTGTGCTATTTGAAAGGTATACTACAGCATGGTACTATCTATTCCAATAATGATCATCCTCAAGTAGGAACTTTTATAAATGTAGATTGGGCAAGTTTGTTTGACAATTGATGGTTTAATTTTGGTTACTGTACAGCTGTTGGTAGTAACCTAGTTTCATGGGGAGCCAAGTTGAGCATTGAAACTTATTAATAGAGCAATGACACGTTAGGTTTTTGAACTGCTGTAGCTAAAGACTCTTTTGGAAGAAGTATGCATTTCATTTGATGGTATGATGAAACCCTACTATAATAACTAGGCATCAGTAAATATTGCACTTAACCCTGTGCAACATGACATGTTGAAGTTGATTATCATTTTATCTAATAAATTGAAGGATGGATACTTTGTTTGGTTTTGTTTAGTCTAAAAACCAACTAGCTGGTGGATTTATAAAGGTGTTGTCAAGTTTCGGTTAATAATTTAAGCAAGATGGACAAGATTTAAAATCTAGGGGAGGGGGGTATCATGTTACTCCTTAGCATAGTTGTCAAGGCAACACCTAGGCAACAAGGCGCCCTTGGAGTCTCACCTCGCCTAATTGCTAAGCAGCTATACTGTTATAAAACACTTTTATGTTCTTAATTTTTTGAGATTATAATTATAAAATAGACATTGTTAAACAAAAATATTCATTTTGTGTGTTCATATACTAATTTCTTTTTATTATTTTCTTATTTGTTAGGGTTTAATCAACACAGATATTGCTAAATGCTGTATTGAACTCTCAAAGACTTCAAAACCTGAACCAACAAGGAAGAACTTAAAATTTTGTCTAATCAACACAATTTCCTACAACAAAAATAGGGGTTCTGCCCCTGTATTTTTTTTTTTTTGAAATTTCTTTTCTTTCTTCTTTTTCTTCTCATGAATATGTTGATTTTCTATAATTTAACATGAAGTTTATACTTTTCTTATGAAAGTTATGGATAATTATCAAGGAAATATGATTATGGAACCTAGGGAACTACCTTAGGGTATATGTTTTTTACTTACAAAAATCCATTGCCTAGGTGACTAGGCAACAAGGCAGTGGCACCCTCCTATAGCCTAGCCTCGCCTTGGCACCTTGAAAACCATGCCTTAGAGGTACTTTTGTCTTTTCTATATTGTTATATATGTAATAGTAACTCAGAGCCTGATGGTCTTTATTTCCATGAACAATCATTGATCTGAATATATGGCATTGTTTCACAAATATGCTCTTTGTTTATGATAGTACCACAAGAACACAAACAATGGAAGTCTGCTTCAAATAGGTTTGAACTTTGAACCAGTGTTCCCATAGAAGGGATGCTGCAATCATATCTTCGGAGATAGAGTCATGGCCACATGGTAACTTAAAGCATTATGATCATAATTAGGAAAATCAACTAAAATTGTAAGATAAAAGAAATTTAGGCATGTTATTAACTTTTCCCGGCATGCTCGTTCAGTAGACTCTGCAAAATTATTGAAGGCAGTCTCAACACGCCTCAGAAACACCTCATGGCCACTTAGATATTCACCATCTTTCTGTTGAAAAAGTAGTCACAATAAGGTGCAAAAGTTATTCTAGGAATCAGAGAGCAAGTCACCTAAAATTCAAGGGATGTTGGTGCAAAAAGAAATAACACATAAACCACCAATCACCAGGAGACAAAACCCATACCTGAAGAAGATAGACAGAAATAGGAAGCAACCTCTTTAAAATGTGTAAGAGTCTAAAACCCAGCTGTAGTAAGAAAAGATAAACATCAGTAACAGCATAAATATATGCCATCACCAAAGAAGTAATCTCTTTCTCCCTCTCCCTCTCATATAAAATCAGGGAAAGAGTACAGTGGGAGAATATACTAGAGATCAAAATAGAATCTAGATTGAAAAGAATTTAGATTTGTAATGAGGGCTGGTAAATCCATTGTAAACCAAACTGTTGACAGTTGTTTGTGTATTCAGGTTACCATAAGGGTACTGTTGTAATTTATCTTCTGTTTATATTGTTCGACTGGACTAGTATAAATAATAAATTCACTCATTCGCCCCCTAAGTTCTGGAGGGCTTTCAGTCACTCGACTCACCTCTCTTCTCTCTTCTCCTCTCCTCTCTTCACTTGCT